CTGTTCTGGACTATGTGGAGATCTCTAGTCATCCTGAGAAGTCTACTGGATTCAGTTCTGTTCTGGACTATGTGGAGATCTCTAGTCATCCTGAGAAGTCTACTGGATTCAGGTCTGTTCTGGACTATGTGGAGATCTCTAGTCATCTTGAGAAGTCTACTGGATTCAGGTCTGTTCTGGACTATGTGGAGATCTCTAGTCATCCTGAGAAGTCTACTGGATTCAGGTCTGTTCTGGACTATGTGGAGATCTCTAGTCATCCTGAGAAGTCTACTGGATTCAGGTCTGTTCTGGACTATGTGGAGATCTCTAGTCTGTTCTGGACTATGTGGAGATCTCTAGTCATCCTGAGAAGTCTACTGGATTCAGGTCTGTTCTGGACTATGTGGAGATCTCTAGTCTGTTCTGGACTATGTGAAGATCTCTAGTCATCCTGAGAAGTCTACTGGATTCAGGTCTGTTCTGGACTATGTGGAGATCTCTAGTCTGTTCTGGACTATGTGGAGATCTCTAGTCATCCTGAGAAGTCTACTGGATTCAGGTCTGTTCTGGACTATGTGGAGATCTCTAGTCTGTTCTGGACTATGTGGAGATCTCTAGTCATCCTGAGAAGTCTACTGGATTCAGGTCTGTTCTGGACTATGTGGAGATCTCTAGTCTGTTCTGGACTATGTGGAGATCTCTAGTCATCCTGAGAAGTCTACTGGATTCAGGTCTGTTCTGGACTATGTGGAGATCTCTAGTCTGTTCTGGACTATGTGGAGATCTCTAGTCATCCTGAGAAGTCTACTGGATTCAGGTCTGTTCTGGACTATGTGGAGATCTCTAGTCTGTTCTGGACTATGTGGAGATCTCTAGTCATCCTGAGAAGTCTGCTGGATTCAGGTCTGTTCTGGACTATGTGGAGATCTCTAGTCTGTTCTGGACTATGTGGAGATCTCTAGTCGTAGAGATAGAGACTGGAGCGTCTGCTCACTGCGGGGGTCGGAAAGAGAGAGACCGGAGCGGCTGCTCACTGCCGCTGTTGCAGCTGTTGCCGCTGTGGCGGCAAAAAATCAATGCAGGTGTTGCCGCTGTTGCAGCTGTTGCCGCTGTTGCAGCTGTTGCGGCTGTTGCGGGTGTTGCAGCTGTGGCAGCAAAACACAATGCAGGTGTTGGGGAAGGGATGGGGAAGGGATGGGGTAGGGATGGGGGGAGGAGGAGGGGGAAAAGATAGACCAGTTGGAAAGGAAGGTACTGGGTAAGAGTCGGCTGATAGGTTAGCATGTGGCATGGCCCCTGCCCCTTGGCTTACTGGGTGGGACAATGTTGCTACGGGGTTAGCTGCTAACCTTGTTTGAACCGTGACGACGCGCAGCGTCTTTCTTTATTTCTTAACTGAACATGCTAACGTCCGTGTACCTGGTTGTTACCTGGAGACACGTTTAACTGAACATGCTAACGTCCGTGTACCTGGTTGCTACCAGGAGACACGTTTAACTGAACATGCTAACGTCCGTGTACCTGGTTGTTACCTGGAGACACGTTTAACTGAACATGCTAACGTCCGTGTACCTGGTTGCTACCAGGAGACACGTTTAACTGAACATGCTAACGTCCGTGTACCTGGTTGTTACCTGGAGACACGTTTAACTGAACATGCTAACGTCCGTGTACCTGGTTGTTACCTGGAGACACGTTGTTAACGGAGGAAGGTAAGCAGAAGCTGGGTAGCTGTGGACTGCTGAAGGTAGAGAAGAAGAAGGGATGGAGGGATGAAGGGATGTATGTGCAGGGGGATTTTTTGTGAAGCCTGTGAGCAGGCACAGAGGGCAATACAACCTGGCCCCCACCAGGGGGTGCTGGTGAGTCGGGCTTTGTCCGTGGAGGAGGACGGAGGCCTGTGACGTCACGACCCGTGGTGTGCGCGCGCGCGCGCGGTGGTTGACTCTGGAGCGGGAAGAGCTGTGCGTGTTGTTGTTCTTGCCGTTGTGCTGCTGTAGGCTTTATAGATGTTGAACAGTCTAGCCTTGTTGTCATTTCGGTGAAAGTGGATGCCGTTTTCCTTCAGGAAACGTTGGAGTTGCATGACTGTCCACCTCCGTAGTTCGGACTCCGTTTCGGAGCACGGCTCCGTCCGAGAGGCGTGTCGAGTGCGCCGCTGCGAGTGGCCGGGAGCTGCGAGTGAGGCAGGCTGCCGGTGGTGGGGAGATTGGAGCTGGCTGTACCTGTTGCGGCCTCGGCTGTTTGCCCTCGCTGGCGGAGTAGACGAAGCCTGGGACCTGTCTGGAGTTGGAGGTATCTCGTTGGGGGAGCTTGAGTGGGAGCGGTGGCGGCTGGTGTGTGGGACACTGATTGCCGAGCGCACGCGGCTCCGTTCGGATGCTTGGCTTAGATCTGTCTGCTGACCTGAGGATGGCGGGTAGCCGATGTCGAAGGGGTAGCCGGTGTCGAAGAGATCTTCATCTGACTCCGGCGAGTTGATCAGGATTTCGGGATCCATGGTGAGTAGCAATGTTCTTGTGGTAGCGTTTTGTTTGTATTGATCTGTGACGACGCGCAGCGTGAATCACAGTCTGCCTGTCGGTCTTTGAAAGATGAGACAAGCGGTTGCCGGAAGCTTTTGCCGGATATAAATAGGGGTGGCCGTGGTTTGAGGCGGAGTTTTAGGCGTGGCCATGCTCCTGAACCTATGTTAACATTTTAACCTCATTTGTATTTGCACTCCTTTTGTCCATTATTCTTACTGAAAATGTTAGATTACACATTCACATCCGACTGAAGATTGGCCCCATTTATTTGCGTTGCAAACTCTGTGGTACAAGGTACATGTTGTGAAGCTCATGAAGTGAGGCAAATAGAAATAATCAGCTGATGGAGTGTAGATGTGGAAATAGGTGCATTCGATCAGCTGACTGTGTTTTCACAATAAAAATGGTTTCTTAGTGAATGTCCTGTACTGGTCTTAACATCTCATAACATCAGCTTTTAATTTTCCTATTGGATGTTTTTCTTGACCCTCGGAGAAAGAAGAGATGCTGAGTCGTGTCTTTCAGGCATGTCCTTTCCTAACAAAAATTACAGAAAACATAAAGCATATTATTGCAGAACAAGTGTGTTATTTATGAAAGAGGTGTGCTTGTGTTTAGGGGCTGTAGATATAATTATTTTGTAATTGTAATGTTTTTTTTTTATTTCAACAGTGAGCTACAAAGACAATCAGATTATGAATGAACAGTATGAAATTCATCAACATTGAAATGTATTTTATTATCAAAATAATATTTAACTGTTATTAAAACAAGCTTGCTCTGTTGTCTCACTGAAAGAATAACTTTTACCACGTTTTTACAGACAATATTGAGAGATAAATAGAAGTTGTCACTATGCGTTAAATATCTTTGCCTTCAATACCTTAAATTAGAAAGCTGACAGTCATATTGCTTGTTAACATCTAAATGTAACCCTTTGCATGGAAAAAACCCTCAACTTCACTGATGTGTAGGTGATCTAGTATTTAGTATTGTTTAATGGAATGTATATCAGTGTATTAAAGTCAATACTTCATTTATTTAAACCAATATCTTTCTTGATTCTTTGTACAGTATGAAAAAAGAGTATTTGTACCTGTGCTGAAGTTCACTGCTGTGAGGAGTCCAGTTCTGTCTCTCACTCTCTGGTCCAGCCTGTCGAATCACCTGGACACTTTAAACAAACAGATATATATGTAAAGAACCATGTGTACAAACAATATAACTTATCTTCTGTTGACATGTTGGATTGTGTATTGACCGAGTCAGGGTCCTTTTTATTTTACTGTAACTTTGGAAGTTGTGTTACCAATGCTTACTGTTTATTTGATACCAATTTGGTAATGCAATTAATAAAAACAACAAGGTTTGGGTTCGTTCTTCAGATGACTGTGACGTTAACGTGTAAGCTCAATAATGAACTACAGCTCAACCAACCATGTTGTAATATCTAAGTAATCATCTTGAAATATGACATTAATAATTGTAATATACACACATCTTATTGTGAGGTTGATTTCACATACACTACTTCGACGTTAGCTTGTCTACATACTTGAGCATAGCCAATTTAAATTAACCTAAGCGATGCATAAAGTTCCTACCTACATAATAAAATATCTCTCTAAGTTACAAGGATGACCGTATTTTATCAACCTCAAACAGAAGCCTTTTGTTCTACAGTATTATCCCACTTAACGCTTAACACTTGTCTATTTCGTTTTAACCTTTATATATACAGTCTATGGTTTTAAGTTAACTTGGAGGCTAAGATTAGCATCGTTAGCACCGATGTAGCTACCACTCGCTTACACGCAAACCCAAGCCTTAACATTCATTACGTAGCTGATTGAAATCATAAACACATAAATAAAGTACTCGAATTTCACTTACCGCAAAACGGCATTCATGCACCGTCTGTTTTAACCGCAGAGCGAGTCACAATAGTCCCATATATAAGCATGAAGAACAAACAAACACGGCCGGGGTCAAGTTGTGTTCCCTGGATGAACTGAGCATGGAGAGTCCCTGTAGCTTCACGGAGACGGAGCAGCTAGCAGAGAGACAAGAAGCTAACAGCAGCAGTCACTTGACAGAGCTGTCACTCAATGCGACCACGCCCTAATTTATGCAAAAACTTTAAGACCTAATATAAATAAAAGGGTCATGTTAGAAAACAATTCACTCACAGATTCATAATCATGAAGGTGGAATCTAACTATATACATAATAAAATGTATTGCAGCCAGGGCTAGAAACGTTTTTTTTCTGCTGTGAAATTGGGCATTTTAACATGGGGCTCTATGGAAATTGCTCCTTTCTGCAGTCATCGCCTATCGGCCAATATATGAACTGCAGTTTATGGCACTTCCGTATTGGCGTCCCGGCTCTTCCCCAGAGTTTGCCGCTTGGTCTGTACACACAAACTGAAAGATTGACAATAAAGTTGACTTTGACTTTACTATTTATAAATCTTTTCCCATGTTCCAGAAGAGATGTCCTCCCAGGTCCGACTGCGGCTGCTGCCCAGAGCCAGATGCATGTTCGACGAGCCGCTCCAGGTGAAGGTGGCCGGGCTGAGGTCCAGACAGGTAGTCACCCTGAGAGCCAGAGCCACGGACGAGAAGGGAGTGATGTTCAGCTCCATGGCCACATACAAGGCTGATGGGAGCGGGGAGGTGGACCTGCAGAGAGACCCCTCCCTCAGCGGGACCTACACCGGGGTCCAGCCCATGGGCATGCTGTGGTCCATGAGGCCAGACACCTTGCACAAAAGGTTAATAAAAACATGTTCACTGAACCCCCATGTGGTGAGGTTCTCTGTGCACGAGGAGAAGGGCGGGATGCTGGCGGAGGCGACCAATGAGAGGCTTCTGGTTGGAGACGGGGTCATCCGGCGCCCGGTGAAAGATGGGAATATTCGTGGAGTCCTGTTTACTCCCCCAGGTTAGTCCGTTTCTCTATTCCTCTTCACATCAAACAGTAGTGCATGGCCACAGCCTGATAAAGCTATTTCCTTTTTTCACACAAGTCCATTGTCAAACAAAAACAATTATAATGACTTCAGGAACCAATATGTCGCTGAGAGGCTAAGGTCGGGCTTGGTTGCCTTTTGTCTGACACGCTTGGAAAAAGGATGTGTTCAGGTCCAAAAATGCTTTGAATAAAATCTTAAATTAATGAAAATGGTTGGCTTATTATCACATGTACAAGTATATAGTCTGTATAATCCAGTTATCAAAAGTTGCGGTCAACAAAAAATACACCGACCCTCTCACCCTCTCTTCCACACACACACACACACACACACACACACCTCACAAAGGGGATTATGTTTACTATGAGTGCAGCCAAAAACCATGGGACCCAACTAATTCAACCCATAATTGATCACAAAATAATAAATAATAATAATGTATACAAAGACTAATAACAAAGTATAACCAACCAAAAAACATTTATTAAATCTACAACACAAAGTACCACTTTCTGACATTCATGGCTGCAACAACACTATTAATTAAAAAACATAAATCGTATATAAGAAGTGGACATAGTCACCGGGACGTCACAGATTAGTTTGGCTGACTTCCATTTTTAAGCCTCGATGTACGCATTTTGCTGTTACCTTCTTGTTTTTTTGGAACAAGAAGTGACATGAGAGGTCGGAGCAGGGATTGAGATCATAAACTCTCCAAAACATTTATTGTGGTTTAATAAATCAAGTGAGTAAGCATGGTTATTTTGTCATAGACTTCTATACAATCTGACCGGGCAGTTGGATAGAGCTGGACATTAGAAATACTGCAGGTTTAAGGCACTCATGCATTGGCTTTAGTTTTCAGAATCAGAATACCTTTACACGTCCTACAGAGGGGACATTTTGATTGTTACAGCGAAGTGGAGAGCCAGACATAGCAACATATTAATTCAGATGCAAGCACAAAATATTTAAGATAAAATTAGAAATGACACAAATTACGCTGTACAAAAATACACATCAAGGTGGACAACAGAAAGTACCAGTAACAGTTTTAAAAAATAAATAAGTGTAACTGTAACCGACCTGTAGTTCTTAATCTATCTTTGTCTTTATTCAGGAGAGGGTCCGTTCCCTGCTGTGTTGGATCTGTACACTTTTGGTGGAGGTTTGTCGGAGAAAAGGGCCTCTCTGCTGGCCAGCCGGGGGTTTGTGGTTCTGACTGTAGCGCTGTACGGCCACGATGACATGGCGAAGAACATCAAAGAGGTCCATCTGGATTATTTTGAAGAAGCAATAGCGTTTTTAAAGAAACAAGATAAGGTGAGTACAGGCCACATTTTTGAAAATCTTCACTGAAGTTGCAAAGATGTTAGATTCTTCGCTCAGTGGCAAAATGTATGATTACTTACAACATAGCTAACCTTATGGGCATCATAATAAATGCTAAAAAGCCTTACGTTACATTTAATTTATCTGATACTTTTAACCAAAGTGACTTAAAGTGCATTCAACCACGAGGAAACAAACTCAAAAGCAAGAATCCCGCAGGTACATTTTCTATCTATAAGCCAAACCAGATTCTACTGCATTAGCTTCACTTAAAGCCAAAGAAAGCAGCTCACAGTTTGCTTGTTTGTCCACAGGTTGGCAGTAAAGCAGTTGGTGTAATATCCATTTCTAAAAGTGGAGATCTTGCCCTATCAATAGCCTCTAACCTGCCAGATGTTGGAGCCACGGTGTGGATAAATGGCTGCTCTGCCAACACCTTGTTACCCCTCTACTACAATAAGAGCCAGATCCTCCCCGCGTTAATGTTTGACTTGAGCAGGATGATCCCCACAGACTCAGGGGCCTTTAACTGCAAATATGTGTTGCAAAATCCGCTGGCAGAGGAGAACAAAGCCACCCTGATCCCCATCGAACGAGCCGAGGGACGCTTCCTCTTCGTGGCTTCGGAGGACGACCTCAACTGGGACAGCAAGGCCTACATGGAGAACATGGTGGAGCGACTGCAGCGACACGGGAAGGACAACTTTGAGAGTGTGTGTTACCCCGGAGCGGGACATTACCTGGAGCCTCCGTACGGACCCTACTGCCCCTCAAGTGTCCATGGGGTTGCAGGCAAGCCGGTCCTGTGGGGGGGGGAAGCACAGGCCCACGCAGCAGCTGAAGTCCACCTGTGGAGAAAGATCCAGGAGTTTCTCAGGACTCACCTGAGCTGTGATGCTCCACAGACTAAAGCCAGATTATAGACAGAAATATCATCATATGATAAACACACGGATAACTGTAAATAATTATATAGCGAATCATGTCATGTTTGATTTGATGATAGTTGAAGCACTGAGAGAAAGACATGCTTGCAGTATGCAGTATTCATGTGTTTAATAGGCCCAATTTTCTAATAAATTCTGTCAATTAAAGTTGGAAACATGTTCTAACAAATCTAAGTTGATAAGAAAAAAGCCCAATAACTTATTTTCATAACAACCTTGAAATATACCCTTCATATTTCCTCTTATGATAAGCAATCTGAAGCTTCTGTTTTAAGGAACGAGCTGCCAACATAATAAATGAAACCCCATGGAGAGCTGTGAGCTGTTTTTTTCTTACAGCATTTTCAAGTATCAAGAATAATTGACCTACATTGGATTGACTTTTCCAACTTATAACTGAACTTATGAGGCAATACACCTCACTTCACCTCAGTGGCCCAGCCCTTCGTATAGTTTTCTGTATGCGGCCCTCGGGGAAAAAAGTTTGGACACCCCTGCTGTAGACTGATATATAAGAAGCAGTAAATAACAACAGGACTTATTCCTCATTGTAGGTAATGTTTAAAATATGCAAAGGTTGATTTTTCCATCAAATCTACAACTTCCTCTTCATAACATCCATCCTAACGCCATCTAACTCTCACTTCACAGAGCGAGTTGTAGGTGGATCAGGTAAGAAGAGACATTTGTGTGATTCAGGCGACCTCTCTTCTCTACGGCACGTCAGCACTGTGTTTCTTTTCTTAATATTTAATATTCACGTGGTTTGACACCTCTGTTTCTGTTTCACTCCTGTTTCACCCCTGTCTCCTCAGTGTGGGTCCGGTTGGGGGGGAAAGTTTAGCGCTTGGCTGCACGATTACGTCTGAAACGATCCTCCTGATTATTCTATTAGATCAAATCCAAATCTCAGTCGAGTCCTTCAACAGCAGCCGTCAAAAACCATTCAGGATGTTCAACGGATCTCAAATGATATATGAGACACACTCACATCCTACTCCTGCTAGGGACAGCAACATTAGAAACTACAAATATATATTTAAAGTATTAAATATATTTGTTATGGTCATACTTATTACAGCCATGATTTGAAAATATGAATTCCTTTTTTGTACAAAGTGACTCATAGACTTGAAACCATTTTTTAATATTACTCATTTGACAGAAACATTTATTTCAGCATCGATTTTGATAACAGATTCATTGCCATTCATCAAGCAGTAACACCAACAATTGTTCAGATATATTATTATTATATTTTATATATTCGTTTGTGATATCTTTTCGGGTTTTACAATGACTTTTGAGGAAATATAAATGGTTATTTATGTAGATAAAATGATAGTTTTAGTCGTATAAATAAAAATGTGTCATTAACTTATTGTTTTCAGTAGGATAAGTTGTATATTTAAAATGTATTATTCAAGTAGAAATTGACCCCCATATAATCCTCAATGGTTAAAGATTGATTGAGCAGTTTTCAACACACATTTGAGTGTGTTAACAAACGTTTTAAAACACCTTTTGTGCACCTTTCGTGATAATTGAGACATTTAATTGTGCAGCCATTGTTCCTCTTCACCACCTTCGACTACACCACACTCTTCTGCTGATGCTGCTCATCTCTTCTCCCACACACACACACACACACACACACACCCACCTTCCACCTGAGAGTCTTTCCCCTTCGTTTGAATAAATGCACTCATGATTCACCATCAGCTGCTCTCAGTCTGACTCACTGTTTGCCAAGTCCCTATCGACTTCGCCACCATATTATGATACAGACTGCGAGTAATCAGCAAAAATATTAACCAAATTAGTGTGCTATGCAGAATATATTGCATTATTGACCTATAGGAATATGTATTTTACACTTTAATATACATAATACAGTTTTAAAATTGACATGTAACTGTGATAGAACCAAGAAAACTATATTTAACACCTTTCAATCCTCAGACCTTAAGCAGGTAATATTTCTTGGAAAATTCACAGCCACTTAGATTTTAATCAAACGTAGATGACAATAAGAATTTCTAGCGTAGAGAATATTTAAAAATAAATGTGTACCCTTGACATATGGAATCATTCTGAAAAAATGTAAAAGGCTTATAAGTACGAAATGTAAAGAGATTAACAACATGTGCAGTATTTGACGGACTCTTATTTACCTGATCTTACCTTATTAGCACTTTGAGTTTTTTGAAAAGTGCGCTTATAAATAAAATTGATTATTATTATCTGAGGGAGAAAAAAAAAATCCATTAAATGTGTTGGGTTTTTTTCTCCAGAAGACCAATTTTGAAGGCTCCACAGATGTTATCAGTTACAAGAAACAACACTTTCCGTTAAAACAGTACATGAAGTGAAATGTGTGTCCTGATGAATTACCTGCTGTCTCTACTTCTATTTGCAGAAGGCTTTGGAGATGAAAAGAGAGGAATATGAAAGTTTACCAGGGTGGAAGCAAGTGAACATAAAGAAGGCCAGAGGATTGTTTTAAGAAAGTTTTTTTAAATCGAAGATGGAAGCAGCGGATAAAAACTGGCCTGTTGAGATGGAGATGGAGACGGAGACACAGGAAATGTCACATTAACCTGTTTTGATGGAAACACGAGAGGACATTGGGATGGAAAGTACCGGAATCTGAAGAAAAGGAACACAGGCCGACACTTGTCTTGCTTATAATCATGTTTCATCTTTAAACTTTGTCATTACGTAACAGAAATTCAAACGTTTTAAGAGAAAGTGGAAAAATAAACTTTGCTTCGGTTCATACACGGTGTTTTGGAGTCCCCTCCAAAGTCAGGATTAAGAATGAAAATGTACACATAGTACGCTTGGTGTCAGAGTGCCATGCTGTGTATGTATATGTTTTGCCAATGTTGAACAGCTAACTATTGTTTGAGTTTAGCTGCCTGGATGACAATTATTTTCCTTTAGGCCGTTCTTTTTTATTATATTTATTTTATCTTAACTTAATGTAGCTTACACTCTTTTCTGTGACCATCATTCTTCAATTGGCATTATATTGGCATTGGCATTATATATATTATTTATACCCTAATGTCATAACAATAGCATTAGCAGCTATATGTTTAATGCTATCTAGCTACTTTGGCTAGGTTTCATTGTTCGGCCAGATGTGGCGAGAAAGTGCGAGTGAGAAGACCGACAGATCGTGCCTGACGTGCCGTGCGTGACGCTGCGTCTCACATACACAAGTTGCCGTAGCGACAAGAGGAAGATATGAAATTTCCCTTCTACACAATATAATATTTGCAAGTATAGAGTAGTGGCTGATGTTTTTAGTCAGAAACAGGTAAACTGTAGTGTACACTTACTACTAATAAATAACTTTAGTGTGAGTAAGTTACTTATTTGCACTGTAAGAGACTGTGGCCTAGGCTCCACGGGAACGAAAACGGGTTGTATCCGCATATTTCTCTTGCGTATAGCCCTTTAAGCTGCACGACGCCGTAACGGAACAGTAGAAACGGACCCTGCAAATGACAACGGGTCCAAAGGTGGATAGATCTGGGAACGGAGCGCTCTGGGGGGTCCAACGGGGCCGCGTGGTAGCCTATACGGTCATCCGTTTCTGATAATGACGACGCAATAGCCCCGCCTCTCCCCACCTCTGCTGCTCACCCCCGCAAAAGTACACTGCACACTGAATTCAGATTATTTATCTTTATCTCGATATGGACATAAACGCGAGTGAAGTCTAATCTGACAGGACGCCCGGAGACACGCAGTTCCTCCCGCTGTGATGCAGCGGGAGCAAAACACACACTTCAAGTCAGATCATCACCCTTAGCTATTTTAATTACCTCTCAAACTACCTAAACTAGTTATAAATATGTTTATTTTTACTGTCGGGTTTACTTACTGGATCAGCTGCTGCATGAGACAGACACTGACGCTGTCAGAAGAGAGGAAAAAGAGACAGGCTCCGTGTATTTTATTATTATATATCATTATATCGTCGTTATTCATTTGTTTTAAAGCTCAATAAATAACAAAGAAGACCTTTGACCGGCACTTTTATAATTTTGTCCGGAAGATTTAAACTTTAACACACGTTGACCGGCGAAAAACTCTGCCCGGTTCCCTCGGCCCCCACCAAGGAGAATAAACAGAAGTGCAGCCATGACAACCATTCTTCTTCGCTGCTTTTGTGGAGGAAGTTGCTGCTTTTGTGGAGGAAGTTACAGCGCCACGTACAGGCTCAGCATATGTACTGCAGCTTTTCCAGCGGTTGGATGTAAACGGAGCTGTCTCGTGTAGCAAGACACAATCCGGTGTATATTGCGTGTGGACGGAAGCTTTTTGGCGTTTGCGTTTGCGTTAATCCTATGCGTTTTGCCGTATGCGTTCCCGTGGAGCCTGGGCCTGTATATCAACGCAGCCTCTGTCGGTCTTCTGACTCGCACTTTCTCGCCACATCTGGCCGAACAATGAAACCTAGCCAAAGTAGCTAGCATTAAACATATAGCTGCTAATGCTATTGTTATGACATTAGGGTATAAATAATATATATAATGCCAATGCCAATATAATGCCAATTGAAGAATGATGGTCACAGAAAAGAGTGTAAGCTACATTAAGTTAAGATAAAATAAATATAATAAAAAAGAAGAACGGCCTAAAGGAAAATAATTGTCATCCAGGCAGCTAAACTCAAACAATAGTTAGCTGTTCAACATTGGCAAAACATATTTAAGTTAAAAAATATTCATTTAGACCCCTAGCTTGCTCACATTATGACAATATATCTGCTCACTTTGTTAAAAACGTTTTGTTTCTGTATAACTTACCTAGAGTTAGACTCTCCTCCGCTGACATCCATCCTCCACAGCAGCCAGTGTTGCAGCCAGAGGTGAAATGGCAGTTGGGACATTTGATGGACAGTTGGTCGGACAGTTGAAAAATGATACATTTGAAATAACTCAACCGTGATTGGGCAGGACAGTGGATACACTAATATGTTGACTTTGTGCATTTTTTTTTCTATGTACACACATGTGTGTGTAAAATAGTTCAGAAATGACACTGAATGTGTTGAATTGCCTTTGACACAGCAGTGTGTTAAAAAAATGACACATTAATTCTAGGAGTGTAATACTTTTACAAACACTATAGAGTGGCGAAGTCCCTCCCCTTCCGGTGGACCTCCATGGGACCTTATTTCGGAAAAATTATGTATTGAAGTCAATGGAGAGAGAAAGATTATCTTTCGATCCCGTTTGAATTGTGCCACGAATTACACATATGATGTTTGTCAATTTAAAAGATAATTTTGCAAGTC